TGGCCGGCCGGCCACCGGCGAAGCCCGGGAAGGGCCGGGCGAGGGCGGCCTTGCCCATGGCCGGTGAGGGGCGGCCGACCTCGCCGGCGTCGGGCGAGGAAGCCTCACAGGCGGGCGAGGTCGCCCTCGCCGAGTCGGGCATGGGCGACCCTCACCCGGCCGTAGCGGCACCCTCGCCCGCCGGGCGAGGGCTTCTCGCCCGACGCCGGCGAGGTCGCCCTCGCCGAGTCCGGCGTGAAGCGACCCTCGCCGCATCGGGCGAGGGCGGCCACGCGGGCCGGGGAGGCCTCGCACAGGCCGGCCTTGCCTGTCGCCGGCGGGTCGGCCGCCCCTTGCCGGCCATGGGCAAGGCCACCCTCGCCCGGCCCTTGCCGGGGCTTTACCGGTGGCCGGCCGACCACCGGCAACCGGCCGGCGAGGGGAGAAAAGAAAAAAAAAGAAAAGAAAAGAAAAAGGAAAGAAGAAAAAAAAAAGGAAAAAAATATTTAAAATCAATCCTTGGTGAGTTCATAATAAGAGATGATGCTTCTCGACATTTGAATTTGAGATTTGGAATCTTGATTCACGACGTCTTCTCTAGAGGAAGGGAAATAGGGGAGGTACAAATTTCAGGAAAATTATTTAAATAATCCTAATTAAGCCTATTGTGTGACTGTTAATTCAGTCCTAAACTTTTCAATTTGACCAATTTAGTCCCAAACCTTTAAATAATTTTCCAATATAATCCTTCTGGTGAATCTTGATCGGAAATCACAGACATGAATGCCAGCTATCCTATGTGGCACAACCACACAACCGGCTTTGATGTGGCGTCTTCTCTAGAGGAAGGGAAATAGGGGAGCAACAATATTCATGAAAATTGTTCAAATAATCATAAACCTATTGTATGATGATCAATTCGATCATAAGTTTTTCGATTTGAACAATTAACCTTCTGATAATTTTTCAATGTAATCCTTTTGGCGAATTTTTGTCAGAAATCGCAGACGTGGACGCCGACTATCCTGCGTGGCACGGCCGGCATTGATGTGAATGATTTTTACAATTTTTTTAATTATTATTTTTTCTTTTATGCCTGTGGCCGGCCTCCGCCGCTCTCGCCCATTATCTCCTCTCATGGGTGCCTGAAGTCAAGAGGTCGCACGGCATCCCAGCAGTAAACTTCTCCAATGTGTCAAGTAGGGATGAACTCATATATATTCCACTCCTCAAGAGGCTGGGAGATGAGTATCAAGGCGAGCACAACCTCCTTGGGCGAGGGGGTCGCCAATCGTCGGCCACCGCCAAGACTGGCCACAAGCGAAAAGAAAAAGGAAAGGAAAAGAAATTCAAAAAAATTGGCAAAATAATCCACAACCTTTAGAAAGCAAGAGACATATATCATTGTTTTGAGATACCTGGCGCAATCAATTGAGGCTTAGGGTATTTCCAATCCAGAAACCGAAAATCACCTATTCAAATCTCGCCGACTGCATGTACAACACTCGGATTCAAGGCCTCCTGTTCGGAATAAATGCCTCGATTTAATCAGTTATAGCTTGTAGGGTGTTACACGGGCCTCCAAATAGCCCGACCTCTAAGTTCGTACCCCGCTTGGTCATCAAAAATTAAAAATAGTAAATTCATATGAAACCACAACCTTCATTAGCTACTAGTTCTATAATTTGAGAAGTGGGTACAAAACCCAAAGCATTTTACACAACCCTCCAAACCTAAAGGCCAAACTACAAATGAACAAAGCCCCTACCACGTCACATACAATAATTGCAAATGTCCCCAAAAGTGATCCCCCGAAATCCAAATCTTAGTCCTCTTTTTCTATCTTGTCCCTGCACATAACAAACTGGGACCTAGTTTTATGTCACAAAAGCGTTATTATTGGAAAATGCAATCTAGCCATCGGACAAAGCCAAACCCATCTTGTGTTTGCGCTTTCAATAGCATCAATTTGCCAAATAAGCTCCTCCCCATGTTTGGGTATCCGAGAAATATCACTTTCAACTGGAGAACTCAAAGAAGAGAGTGTCTATCGAAAATTATGTATCGAGTATGAATCCGTTAAATAAAGATTCAACCCGAATGAAGTGCGCAGAAACTCGAATCTAACTGGAGCACATGGATTGCCTTCATCTATTGTTGAACCATCTGCCGATGAGTCACATTAACCGAACGAATGTTGGATTTTTTTTTTTTGTTGTGCTTATTAATATGTTTGATTGCTTTTTACATATATAACAATATTATTATATAATATTCAGTGTCAATCACCTCCCACAAAATGTTGTGCATTGGCGTTGTGGCAAATGGCACCCTCATCTCCATGATTGAGCCCTTACAGCTCACGTCCTCACCCACCCCCATCATTTTTTTTAAAGACCCCCTTATGTTGTTGTCTTTATTGGCCCAGATATTCCTTGGGACCTAAGTTTTTGTTTCTTATTTCTTGGAACGCCTCAACCGGTGGCAAAACTCTTTGAAATCTTTCGACATTGATCCAGTCATTTTTCGGAAGCTTAACGCACAATCAGCTCAAGCTAGCTTTACCCATTTGAGAATTAGGGTTCATCTCACGGTTTCCGTAACAAGGTTGGTAAGGGTATAGTCTTTCGCCGATTAATTTCGTCCTACGATGAAAATCCGGAGTCTTAGAGTAAGGGGATGCTAGCATTTCGACGTAAAAAGCGAGGATGATTTAGGTATTTGAAATGGTTTGGAAATTGTTCAGAGTGTGAACCGTAAGTCTATGAGATTAAAAAAAGGGAATGTCGTGCGTGTCTTCCTCAGAATAGATTTGTCCGAATCCGCATGCATATATAGTTTAAGAAACTTGCCTCTGTACTATTCTTGGAATCAGGTGTTTTGCTGTGTGAAACAATTACCTAAGCCATGTGCAATGTGCCGCGTCTAGGAGCTAAGCCAGCACAAAGCACCTAAACAAAGTTAGGTCAAAGACGGCTTTCAATAGTCTGAGCATAAGAGGCTTTGATTCGATGCATCGGCGGTTTTAATATGATTTCGCTTGTGTGAGTTTGAACCTAGATTTGGTTTGGTTCTCGGGGCCGGTGATTCGAGGGGCTCGATGCGCGCATCCATATGGAAGGATGTAAAATGGCTTTTTTCTAGCCGTGTTGGCTCAACTCGCGAAAATGGACTCAAATAAGTGAGAAAGACTCGAGAATTTCGTCTCGTTAAGGATTTGGTCCGGTCCGGTCCGATGTGATCCACACGTAAAACCGAGCCCCGCGGTTGGTGTACGCGCATCGGATGTTGATGTAAAAGCATTGGAACTGGACCGCAAAGATCTTTGAGACTTGGCATCAAATTGAACGGCAAAGGGGGGCAATCGGTACTGGTACTACTTGGGGGCAATGAAAGTGAGCCGGGGACCATACACGGATTGACCTGTATTCCACAGAAATATCCAAAAAGAAATTGACATGTTTTAATAGGATGTGTATGGTCAACATAGAAACATAATGCACGACATACGACCTAATCAATAGTAGTATTGACTTTTTCTTGCCAAGTATATCTACTTGGTGTTCTACTCCTTACATCGCTGGCATTTTGGCATGTCCTTGGAGCTAAATATGCACAAAATTACTCTCTGACATTTTTTTACATTTAATATAGAATAATGAAATGGATATAAGAATGATCGTGAGGCGTAGGGATAGATACAGAATGTCTGCGAAAGTCTTGCACAATTGCGAAAGTCTAGCAAGAATCAATCAATCCGATCTTTGATCGAGCGTGTGGAAGCTTTAAGCTACTAAAATCGGCATAATATATCTAGTCACTTTCTATCACATTATCATGAAAGCTCAAAACACAAGTGTTAAAACATCTGCTTGTTTAATGGGTTTTCGTGGTTTTTACACGAATTTGTCATCCTCTCCTTATAAACTTAAGTTTTTCAGTTGTACTTTCTGACATGACATTAAAGTTAGGTTTTGTCCCCGTTAATTTCGCATAAACAATCTCCCGTTCGTCAAATTTCACGTGACATTCCTAAAGGGTTTATATATATATACACTCGAATTGAATCAATAGACATAGAAAAACAGCAAACCCTATGCTTAAGCAAGAAGCAACTTGGTTGGGGACAAAAATGTTCTTGCTCACCTGGATGGCATTAAGTATGTAGAGAGAGAGAGAGAGAGTGTGTGACACTTCGAACTTGATGATGAATCAACACGCTTTTAGACCCAACAAACGAGAGAGAGAGAGAGAGAGAGAGAGAGAGAGAGAGAGAGAGATAGTAAAGATTGCTTTGCACTCAAATAAAAATGCGGCTTTGCAAGACATCCCGCCACGTCTTAGGCATTACTCAACCATTTATATACTTATAAATTTCAAATGTTATCTACACTCGTTGACGAAATAACTTATGCAGTAGAGATCTTGATAAGAATAAGGGTTAATATCATGAAATATCCTAAACTGGTATACTTATGATAAATTTACCCTACCAAAAATTCCAAACCGGTACACCTGTGATAAATTTACCCTCCCTTAGTTTTCGTTAAATTTCACCGTCTAATTTCTAAATTGGATAACACATAACAATTTACGGGTATAACACTTTGGGGTTTTACTCCTCCGTTTGTCACAGAATTTATCAATTTGTGACTTTTCGTGATATTAATCCAAATTTACGAAAGGTAAATTTGTCACAAGTATACCCGTTTAGGGTTTTCGGTGGTCAAAAAATCAGTTTGAAGTAAATCCGTCACAGGTGTACCAGTCTTGGGTTTTTCGTGGTATTAACCTTAAGAATAACGTGTGGGAAGAGAAGCAAAGTTTTAATCTTGATATCCTTGGCCTAGACAAATACATTCAGCTAGCATACACAGTAATGAAGAGATCTAAAGTGGGGGGAGGGGGTCAAACTCCTTTGCTAGGGAGAAAAGGACCTTCAGCAGGTGACCCACCCACCCATCTTCCATACGTAAACGATTCTCCTTCACCAGAAAGCAAAGAAAAACAGAGCCCATTCTTCTACCCAAGAAGAGCAAAAACAGAGAGCCCATTTTTAGCCTTCAAAAAAGCCTTTGCATTTACCGACACGGAAGCCGTCCATCTCTCTCTCTCTCTCTCTCTCTCTCTCTCTCTCGCCCCTCACCGAAACGCAAGAATCGCCTGTAACAGAGATCTCAGCTCTTCACACTCACATCACATTACTCTCTCTCTCTCTCTCTCTCTCATCAAGAAACAGGGGCAAACGCGAAAGAAGCCATCAATGTCGCGCCTTGGATCAATCCCACTGCTCTCTCATTGCCTCCTGCTCTCTCTGTTCTGCCTCTTCTTCTTCTCCTCCTCTGTCTCTTCCGACTCCAGCTTTCGCTTTCACCGTCTCAGTGATTTACGTGTTCCGGGTTTGTTTCTGCTGCTTTGGGTTCCTCTTGATGAAGTTTTTTGGCCTTAAAGGCCGGTATTTTTTATTTTTGCTTTTTGGTGCAATGACATGCGGTTTTTGCCTTTTGGTTTCTGTTTGCTTTTTTTTTTTTTTTCAGATGATGGGTATGAGAAAGGGTCTCTTTGGGTGGCTCCGTTGGAGGCAAGGAGGCACCTTGCTGATGAGACGACGGGGAATTCCTCGCTGATATTAGCAGCTCAAAGGACGCGCCGGAGAGACCCCACCAACGATTTCAAACGTTACACTGGTGGATGGAACATTAGCAATCAGCACTACTGGGCCGTGAGTGATTTTTCTTTTGGTTTGTTTTTTTGTCGTTTACCAAAAGTTCCAGAATTTGGAGTTGTTTCGTCAAATTTATTTTGGTGTGGCCGTTTCTTGATATCAGAAGTTTGGGTCAATCGCCTTTTTGTTGGTTTCTCTTGCTTTTGCTGGCTTCGAGATTTTGGTCTCTAACATGGGTCGTGATGGTTTCTTGTGCGGGTTCTAAAGGTCCCCAGGTTCTTTTATTAGCCTCCTGGTCATATTATTTTTAAATGGTGAGTTTGTTGTTCATCTCATGATGAAAGTTTTTGGTGTGCTTGTGATAGCCATCGTTGCCTGATAACCGGTGGCTTCTCAATTGTACAATAAAGAAGGCTATTCTGGAGTGTATTATAATTTTAGCTTAGAGAAGAGTGTTGGACTGCTCTGTGCTTAATTGGGGCTGTGCTGGAGTTACTTTGTCGATGTGGATTGGTTGTGTTATCTATGATGTCGATAATATTTTTGGGTTTTATCTTTTTGGGTTTCTTGTTCTGTACTTTTTGGTTGATCATTTACTTGGGTAGGGACTGATTTCTTGATTTTGTAACGTAATGCAGTCTGTGGGATTCGCCGCCGCTCCATTCTTTGTCATCGCAGCAGCTTGGTTTGTAATCTTCGGGCTGTGCTTGTCTTTCATCTGTCTCTGCTACTGCTGCTGCCGAAGAGAACCTTACGGATACTCCCGGGCTTGTTATGCTTTGTCTCTCATTTTTCTTATGCTCTTCACAATTGCAGCGATGTAATTCCCTGCCTCCTCACATTTAGACAGATGTTCAAACTGTTGGTCGGTCGATTCTAAATTGAGTTTGTCTCTCTTTTATGCGACTGCAGAGTTGGCTGCATCGTTTTGTACACTGGTCAAGGGAAGTTTCATGGCAGTACCTCGGATACTCTTAATTTTGTGGTGTATCAGGCAAACACCACCTCTGAAAACCTCAGGAAAGTGTCAGATTATCTTGCCACGGCAAAGCAGATTGGAGTGGATGCCAATTTTCTGCCTGCTAGTGTTCAGAACAATATTGACGCTGTGCAAGGGAAGATCAACTCCTCTGCAGCTACTCTTTCTGCCAAAACAACGAAGAATTCCAAAGATATTCAAGATGGCTTGGATAGCATGTAAGCTAAAGGCATATATACATCTTATATTCATGTTTGTAGTTCTTCAGGAGACCTTGATCACCAACTTTTCCCTCTCTATGCCAGGAGGTTGTCTCTTATTGTTCTTGCTGCTGTCATGCTATTCTTGGCATTTCTTGGATTTCGTAAGTTATCTGACTTTCCTTGATCTTTAAGTCAGCAATAAATATGATAATCTGTATTATTCTAATACCATTGATATAAATATTCTTGCAGTGTTCTCTGTTCTTGGATTGCAGTGTCTTGTGTACTTGTAAGTAACATAAGATTTAAGCCTTTCCTAAATTGTGGTTATGCTGATTGAAACTTGCTTTATAAACACTTGTAGCCTGGTCATACTGGGATGGATTCTTGTCACTGGCACATTTATCCTGTGTGGCGTGTTTCTGCTCCTCCATAAGTAAGTGATGTAATTTATTTATCTTTCCTTGAGCATTAAGTTTCCTATCCATTGAAAGTAATTTTTTAGGCTACTTGGCAATGCACACTGTCAATTGCTAATCATATGTTTGACCTTTCATACCGCACTGCTTTACTTTATAATAATTCTTGTGATAGGTTCAAGCTTGGATTTCCATACCCTTTTGTTGGAACAAGCTGATTTATCTGTATCTAGAACAGAGGATCATGAAGCTTCTATTTTTTAGTTTATCACATATTATTCATGATTATAAAGGAAGAACCATGAAGCTTCTTCTAACAAGTTTGTCATGTTTTGATCAACTTAGTTATATATGGACCTTTTTCTCTGTCAGTTCTCACAACTTCTGCCAGTCACAATTATTTCCAGTCAATCTGTTATCCGACTCATCAGTTGGGCACTTTCTTGTTGATGAACTGTGTGAACCACTTTGAGCATCTCTAGAAAGGGTCTGTGGATATTTTCTTGAAGATATTATAAATCAAGACAAATTATCAAATGCTATCATTCTTGCACTTTTGGCAAATTTAGAGCTTTCCCTGGTGAAATTAGAAGAGTTCTACACATGATTGGATTGTCCTAACACAACTGTTCTTTTGGAGTTATGGTCGCCATATTCATGGTGCTCATTATATCCGGATGGGGATTTTTTTGGTTTAGAGGGAGAGGATGGGCTACGGAGGGGAAGTGTTTGCAATTTTCTAATAAGCATACGGATTGTGCTTTTACACCATTAAAACTAGTCTTACGTTAGTCATGTGATTTTGTTGCCAAAAGAAATTAGAAGTTCCTGCTCAATTACCTCTTGTTGTTTGCCAGTGTTGTTGCAGATACATGTGTTGCAATGGATGAGTGGGTGCAGAACCCCACAGCTCATACAGCTTTAGACGATATTATCCCATGTGTTGACAACGCAACTGCCCAGGAGACATTGTTACGCACCAAAGATGTGACCTACCAGCTTTCAAGAATGGTTAATGTGGTCATTACCAATGTATCAAACGTCAACTACCCGCCAGCAGCTGGATCTTTATATATCAACCAGTCTGGACCATTAGTGCCCACCCTTTGCAACCCATACCACGCTGATCTCACCACTCGACAATGTGCTTCTGGCGAAGTCGATTTTATGAACGCCACACAGGTACAATCGTAGACATCCCCTTGTTGATGAAGATCCACTAGAATGATATAGAACTGAGTCTCGGACTTAGTAGATACTCCATACCTTCTTTCTTTTTTTCCAGACTTCACTTAATGCCTGAAAAATCAGGAATTATTTGGAAAATATTTCTGCAAACTGTTTCATGTCTTCAGGGATAGAAAATAATCTGGTCAAAGACCCATTCACGAAATAGCTTTCGAGATATTTTCTTCAAAATTTTTCTTGAGAATTCTGGAGCACAAAACACATCTTTTCAATATTTTCCACTTTTGTTTATCAAGTATGTAATGAAACATGCAGCACCTATCTATTCATCCTACTTTAATTCTGAACCGTCTAGCAAGAAAGTTGTTATCGCTCTTCCCATATCTTCTGATAGTACTCTTATCTGAAAAAAACTAAATACTCTATTTACATCCTACAACAATTTCTTATTTCCTAAAGAAACTCTAAGAACAACTTTTGAAGAACATTTCTAATAAATCGCTCTCAGTGGCATTTATCTCTTGTTGGGAACAATGTCAGCAAGGAGACTCAAACATAAAGTTCCTTTTCTTGCAGGTGTGGAAGAATTACGCTTGTCAAGTGTCCTCATCAGGCATCTGTACTACACCGGGACGGTTGACACCGTCATTTTACAACCAGATGGTTAGCGCCGTAAATGTGAGCTACGGCTTATACCACGATGGTCCGTTCCTTGTCGGCCTTCAGGATTGCTCTTTTGTTCGCCAAACCTTCACGTCTATAAGTAGCAACCACTGTCCTGGCCTCCGTCAATACAGTCAATGGATCTATATCGGCCTGGTGTTAGTCTCTGCAGCCGTAATGCTGTCTTTGATCTTCTGGGTGATATATGCAAGAGAACGACGCCATCGTGTATATACTAAGCAGTTCTTGGCCAGATCTCAAGAAGGCCGAGACAAGGCGCCATAGGTTTTTTCAAATATGTAGAGATGTTAGTTTCCTTCATGTACATTTCTGTGTCCAACGTATCTTTCCTCTGTTTTGGAAATTATACTTAGGCAGTGTTAGAACTCCTCTAGTACGATGACGACGCTTTTAGTATGTTGACTTGTTGCTGATGTTTGAGAACCCAAATGAAGGAACGAGTGCCTTTGCCTATGTTTTCTTCTTGTCAATGACTTTGTTCCCTCTTCATTCATTTTAGTGGTATCGGGCAAACCCGCAACCGCGTAGATTCAGGGGCTGGTGACTGCATGAGGTACACAAGTCGTCCGGTCCTTGCTTGCTTTCCAAGATCCGAGCAGGTCTTGGAACGGAGGACGGACGAAGGACCGATGTGCAACCACCGGGCCACGGTCCACGGGACAAGAAAATGGAGGAAGCTAGACCTGGTTTTCCCTTGACTGTTTTAGCCTCTCTGGGGTTGTCTCTCTCTCTCTCTCTCTCTCTGATCTTAGCCCCACCAAAAAACATATGTTTAAAGCTTAATATATGGCCTAAACCAATGTTAGAGACACAAAAGTCCAAGCTATGGCACACTAATCCTTGGACTAGCAGATGAAATGTCTTGCCATCAATCAACATCAGATTGGTCCAGCTCCCAGAATCACTATCTATCTCCGGCTTTGCGCACACTTGGATCTCTTTCACTGAAAGATCAAAAGTAGATCAACTAAAGAAAAAAATCATCAACATCATGGCGGAACAGAGATGTGGTGACTGGGATAATGTTTGTTAGGTGCCCTTTTCTGAGACAGTTCTTTGTGGCGTTCTGAGATGATGCTTCTGCGATTTCCTTTCTAAAAGAAATAATTACCTAGTGAAATGGTTGGACGTCTCCATCATTTTGATCCGAAAATTTGTCCTCATTTCTTGCCGACTTGATCATCCTCATCTTGTGCGTGGAAGCAAAACAAAAGTTTCTTCCAAACTTGTTCCTCGTTGCCACGTCTATCGTCTCTCATGGGTACCGTGCCTCCAAAGATTTTCATCGCTGGATTAAAAAGTAAAAGTTCACAACGGTCCGATTGGATTAGGTTGAACGATTGAGATCTAATGCATTTCATTCCGTAAATGAATGATTGTGAAGGCACCGTAACGGTTCAAGACTATAAATTGACCTTACTCTTCATATATGGGATAAGAAACTAAAAAGAAACAATGACTTAATTTGAAACTTTAAAAAATTAAAAACCTGCTTTTGAAGAATCGCTACGATCACCTTAATCACAAACCAATCAATCTGTTGTCAAAATATGATAGGAAATAAAAATGAAATTTAGAGGCCACCCTCGTAATGCGTATCCGACAGAAAGCTATACTTCACTGGCTATCTTGTGACTTTTAAGACTATGTATATATCCCCAAGCTATACTTCACTGGCTATCTTTCGTGAACTAAAATTTTAATATTATTTTTTATTTTTGAATTTTTATTAATTTTTATATTTTGGCTTTTTTTTTTTTTTGGGGAGGGGCCAGCATTAGGAAGGTGTGCAAAAGAGCCCGAACCGCCGTGGCCGAACCTCGCCAAGAATCGCTCGTGAGTCGGGCGGGCTGGACTCAACCGGATCGGCAAGGCTTGCCGTTGGGCAACCGATCCGGTCGGTCTAGCTCCGGCATCCTCGCCCAATGCGAGGCGACCTCGTCCCGCAGTTTCCGATCCTCGAGTCGCCGCGAGGCTCGTCTGCCGCGCCTTTAGCGAGCAGGCCCTCGCCGCCGGGTTCCGATCTCGGCCGGTCTCGGTCGCGCCCGGAACCGCTAAATATATCCCACCCCCGTGTAAAATTATCACCGATACATTGAGGTTTTATGATTAACCCTTTCTTTACTTTCAGAGTATCAAATGTCCGGCGCATGGGGTTTCTTCTTGGTAAGTGTTGTCTGAGTATGATGGTTCTCATGACCTAAACCCTAACCTGAAGTTTTGAGTGTTACCAGAAGCTAGCAGTATGATTTTTTTAACTTCATTTGCTCCACAAATCTGGAGTATATGGTAACGCAGCAAGCACTTGTAGCTCCATGGCAATGAAACTTTGAAACTTGCAAACCATTTCCTTCATTTTGTCCCCTAAGAGCAAGTGACTGCAGTCAATTTCCTTTTGGACATGTCCTATTGTGCTTAAATTAACTAGTGGGACCAGTTCCATGGAACCACCCGGGAACCAAACCGGACCGGTCCGCGAGTGGATCCATGGATTCAACGGGCAGTTCCCGATTTCAATTTTTCAGAACCGGTCCTTAGTGGGCGTTTCCCGGTTCTAGGGTGGGAACCGCCCACTCGGACCATGCTCACCCCTAGTCAGCATTGATTCAAGATAAATCCAAAACCTAACCAGACCGACTCTACCCAACTGGTTCTAGTCTAGTTTTCGGTTACAAACAAGTTTTTGAACTGGCTATTACTGGTCCGGTTCTTTGTTTTGGGTGTAGAATCAAATTGAACCAAGGAAGCGAACCCAAAGACCAGACCAAGAAACCCTAATTCTCTCTTCTCAATTTTATCTTGCATCTTGTATTCTTGTTATTGCCATTTCTACCTTTTGTTTTAAGGGGATTTTTAAATAAAATTTGTCCTTTCAAGAGATAAAAAAAATGAAATTAAAAAAAAAAGAATTGGCTAGTTCTCGGGTAAACCTTGGAATTGGACCGGACCGGACCAACATGTCGATTCCAAGGTCTATAAGATAGACGCCAGGTTTTAAAAATTGGGAACCGGTCTCAACGGGATAGGATCGAGGTCTGAAAACTCACCTTGGAATCACCCCTAACTACGTTGACTTAGATGGTAAGGGAGTTTGCTTCTTCACTTATGGGGGATAAGAATAGTAGGAGTGTCATGATTTTTGTACATTTTTTTCTGTGCCAACGACCCTCGTTAACCACGAAGGCCTTGCCCTTGGCTGGTGGGTCTGCAAAGGCCCTAGGCAAGGCCATTGCCGAAGGCTTTACCCGTAGCCAATGAGGCCACAGAGGCCTTGGCCAGCAACTAATTGGGTCGCAAAGGCCTCACCCAAGGCCATGACGACCTCGCCGGCTGTGGGCGAGGCGGTGAGGGCGTGAAGGCCCTTGCTAGATCTGGGCAAGGCCGCCACCTGCAATCGACGAGCGTCGTCAGCGATCCTCACCGACACAGAAAAAAAAAAAAAAAGCAAAGACGAAAAGAAAAAAAAATTCAAAAAAATTATCAAAAATAATAATTAAAAAATTTTAAAAATTATCTACGTCAGCACTAGCAATGCCGCATAAGATGAATGGCGTCCACGTCGAATTTTTCAGTGAGGCAAAACGCCGATAGCACTTCAGTGATAGATTTTTTTAATTTGTGACACTTAAATAAGCGAAAAAGAAAATTATAACCGTCAAATGAGCGTCGTACGAAAGTCATAGCACTCTTATTATTCTTATCCCCTACTTATGGTATTGCTTCAAGCCTTATCGAAAGCACTTTAAGACTAAAATCTTGAATGCACCACGCCTTTGCAGAAGAGTGCAAACGGATGTGGTACAATGCGTACTCGAGATCGCAAAACAAGGTGGACTAGTAGAGGTTCACGAAAGTTGGTTCGGACCACTACCTAACCCGCTAATATATTTAAAAAAAAAATTAACGTGACCCGTGATTAAAACTCATACACACATATAAGTTCCTATCCAAATTGGAAATCGACTCAGAATCACAAAATTTCAATGGTAGGATTTGCCAACTATTCAGCAATTATGCACGTAGCGGAAAGAATTGTAGTACCCGCGTCGTTCTCGCCAATGTAGAAAGGTCAATATAAAGGGGTATTCCAATAAATCAGGGGAAAGAAGGAGCCCACAAGTTTCCCACAAACTTGGAGCTCCCTCTAAGCTTGCCATACAAACGAGGAGGATCACCCATTAATCGTTTGTTGGCTCCTTGGAGCAAAATCTTGCATGCATCTCCATTTCCATGGCATCAAGAACTGAAGCATCATCATCAAGAACGTGCCTATGCTCGCCCACCAATCACCCGGGCTCTTTCCGATGCAACCTCCACAAGAACCACCCCGCGAGGGCCACGGACCGGAGGGCGGCCCGCCGCATGCCCCCACCAGGGCACCGGGAACTGGGGATGATGACCAGAGATGAGGGGATCAAGGCATTGCTGCTGCAGATCATCAATCCATCGAGGCACGACCTCAAAAGGAAGAGGAGCTTCGAGCCCAAGCCGAGCAGGTTTTGCTTGATGAATGGGGTTGCAGTTTCTTGATCATTTCATTTTATAGTTAGGAATATGTGCATGTACATTTGGTACATGTCCACAGATTTTTACAATAGGGTTAGTCTGGATTTTAATTGACCTATGATTAGAATTTGAATCTTTATGAGATGCACACATTTATGTAATCTGTCTTGACCTTTGTTAAGTCACCAGTGAAAGAGACAGAAATAGAAATTTCTACATCAGATATATTTTATGAGAAGACTAGTATATTTTTTCGATGCTTCCCATGAGTTTTCAACATATTTGTTTTTCTCGAAAATTTTATGTTTATAAATTCTCTACTCATGCAACGTTCAATTCATATGAGAATAGTATTTTTTTTTTTTAGAGCTATGGTAATGACAATAATCGTAAAATCGTAAAAGAAATATCAGCTTGAAAATAATAAATACCATTTACTAGATAAGTGAATATCATCGGTTCATTTGTCTTATATATAAATTCATTCTACATTTACCAAACATCTCCTACGTGGATTTACCAAGAACTAATTGAATTCAACTCAGTCATTTCGTCATTTCTTTTTAAGTAATTAATTTCTTTCAAGTAACATTAACTCTAATATCGAATTTCTCTACACGTGACATTGGATGGAATCGAACTAGTTTTACTTTTTTCCATGGTATGTCATATTCCAACCGATAAAGTCGATTTTTCTCTTCATATTGTTCTATAGGTAAATGAATGGATTTTTTTCTAAAAATATATAAACATCACATACATGCATAATAAAGTCACTTTTACGTGAAATTATAGATATAGGTAACTTCTCATTCTCGTAGAGTTAAATTCCACTATCTTATTGCTTCAGCCATTACTAAATAAATGTAATATCGCTATGTTAATTATTCGGAAAATTTCTCTCAAATTCTTCCTAGAAATATTGTCTCATTTTCATGCTCAACCTAACTACTAATAGTGAGAT